AGTCCTGCTGTGCAGTGCTGGGTGTCTGCACTTGATTGATGCACCTACCAGAGACTGTGGGGTTGTGTGGGAATGTGTGTCTGCTGTGGTGGCAAGGGAAAAGCCATGGTGATGGGGGCCACCCTCCTGCTTCATGAAGGAATTGTGCACAGGCATGATTTAAAGGCTGTTGTAATCCAGAGGAAGAGTTTGCTTAGTGTAAAGCTAAAGCGTGCCCTGTGTGCCTCTGCCAACACAGGAATGTGAGTGCATGGGATTTTGTGGAGGAAGATGGTTTCTTCTGACCAGTCCAGAAGTGGCAAGGTCCTTTGAGAATCGTGAATGATTCCAGGCATTTGAAGCAAAGCTGTATTTGGTCATGTAAGGGAAGGAAGGGCTCAGTGGAGCTAAGCAAGCCAAAGGGAGGCTGCAAACGGCTGGTGAACCTGACTTTACTTCAGGCATCCTTGTGTAGGTGGCTGCACAGCTTGACTTTAGGTCAATGAACTGGTAGCCCTTAAACGTTTGTGTAAATAAGTTGGAATAATTTTTTTTTTCTGCTGAAGCCCTTGAGAAAGGGCATCAGTTCAACTTCAAACAACTTTGTTGGTCATTATAGATGAGAGGTGTGTATGTAACCCTTGTGTAACATACAGGGTAGAAGTTACTATTACAGATTCACAGAATCAATGATGTTGGAAAAGACCTCTGAGACTGAGTCCAAGCTATGACCTAACACCACCATGTCAACTTGACCATGGCACTAAGTGCCACCTCCAGTCTTTCCTTAAAAAGAAGAGACATTACAGGACAGTGCTTACTCCATCCACAGTATTCAGATGTATACAACTTTTAAAGTGGTGCTAATACTGTTAAGTTTATGAGTATGTCAGTCAGTCAGTTGTAACTAGACAAAACAGTGTTGTGCATTTGAAGTTTAAGCAGCAAGATAAAAAGAGTTGCACATATTTGAAAATGGAGACTGTGTAATGAGCAGTGACCTCAGATGGTTTAGGGATAATGTTTTTAACAGTGTTACAATGGGAAGTGGAAATTACCTCTATAATTAAGGCATCTGACACTTTTGAGTGCTTTATAGCTGAAAACAAGAACCAGCTTTGCTGGAATGTAAACCTGTATGGTCTGAAGCTTTCTGTGGATGGTCACTTGCTGCCTAGAGCCACCACCTTATATATATTTTATGTATATTTTAGCAGTTAGTTCAGGTGTTTTCTGTTAAAGAACAAAGGAGAAAAATAAAGCTAAGGTTTGGTGTGTCAGCATTTTTTTCCCCTAACAGTTTCTCTGAGAAGGCCTAGTACTAACAAAATTCAGAATTGAAGCAGGGAAGGTGGGGTTGGTGCCTGCTGTTGCAATGATGGCTGCTGCTGCCTCCAGACAGTGTTTCCCAATTAGATGTTTATATCCATCAATCCCCAGAGCTAGCTGTTATTCTAAAGGTCAGCTGGGTGGCAGTACCCTGGGGGACACTGTGGCTGAGACTTGAGAAGGGAGCTGGAAGGAAGGACAGTCATTGCTAGGGATTTTGGTAGGCACCAGTTTCTGTGCTTAGAGGCCAGCATGGAGTGAGATGCACAGTGTTTGACTGACAGGCTGGTGAAAGGAGCTTATGCTGAGCAGAGCCTGTGTTGAGGCTCCTGCAGTATGGCTCTTTGTTCTGCAACTTTCAGTATGGTAAAGAGCAGGTCTGTGGTTTTTAAAGTGTATGTTGAGTCAGCAGTTTTGCCTCAAGACATGCAAGGAAATGATAGGATTAAACTGTAACCAAAGAGAGGGGAAGTAAAATTCTCCTTAATCTTAAAATTTAGGTTTTTGTTGTACATGAAGGTACTCCTGAGCTCTTAATGGTATGTGACTGTCTTTTACTTGCAGGTTCCCTGATGTATTTAAATGAGGCCACTCTCCTTCACAATATCAAAGTTCGGTACAGTAAGGACAGAATTTACGTAAGTATTATATGTCATGAGAACCAGTCTAATATAGATGTCCTTTCAAACATTCAACAAGTGTTTCCAATTCTGGTTTTTTTCCTGTAACAGAACTGCTAACATGGAAATGTTGAAGTTGTAGGCCTTTTTTTGCACCTTTTTTTCCCTTATGTTATACTTTGCTTGAGATCAGAATCATATTAATCACAATAATGCTAGCTAATTTTTACCAGGCAGAGCAATACATTTTTTTCTACATGACTGTTCATGTGCAACCATAGCACTGCTTTGTATCACAAAGCTCTGTTCCTACAGGTACCTTACTTCACTGTTAGCAAAGATGGTTTCCTTTCTTCATTATTTTTGAACGAAGCAAACAGGTGCTGTCTTTGACACCTCCTAGCTCAGATGTCCATCTTAATCTTTTATATTGCTATCAAATTGCCTAATTGTACTTAATGAATTCTGACTAAATTACATTTTGTCCTTGCCATCTGCCCGGACATTGACAGCTGTGAAACAGAAGATAAGAGTTTTCCTTCTTTCTTATTTTTTTGTCTAATAGAAAGCTGGCTAGGGGTAATACAAAACAGTTCTACGTGTTTTTTAAGTGTCTGTGTTAAAATAATCAACTTTTAGCATACTGCTGTAAAATTAATCTAGTTAAACCCTTTTATATAAATATAAAAAGAAAGTATAGCTGTTTTCTTCTGCTGCAGTTGATTTACATAGCTATAAATTTTTTATGTCCCAAGATCAAGCCCTGGTTTTAAAATAAATAAATAAAAAAGGCCATTTGAATGCTGTTCTGGGAAAATAATCCTTAAAAAACCCTAACCAAACAATAAACCTCCGAGGAGGTAAAATTCTGAATCTGAACTGATTATGAGGTAGGATAGTATTTCAGTTCATAAAGCTGTTCTGCATTGTAAACAAGTACTACTAATATGTTATTCAGAGTGGGTGTATTTTCTGGAGGGGGAAAAAAAGTTGACTTTTTGTTTTTCCGGTTTATATTTTAACTCCCCTATAAACAGTTTTCTGTCTTTTTAAATCCTGGTTAACAGCATTTCTCTTGTTATTAAAAGGAAAGTTAATATTAGTACCTGCAGCTCTCGAAGAAAAGTTTTCCTGCAGTGAAATAAGTGCTAAAAATAGAAACATCTAAAAAACAGTGATTCAACCTATCACAATAGTGTCCAAATTTCAGTTGCCTAGTGATATTTCAGTAACAACAAAGCAAATAAGTTATTCAGGCTGAAAGTTTATCTCATTTTCTTTAGATCTTTTGCTGCATATATGCTTTTATCTTTGATTCTGACCTCTCTTCTTCCCTGTATGTAATCTGGCCGTTATAACAAAGCTATGAAAGTTTTTTTCAGAAAAAACTTTTCTTCAGTCTTCCTTATCCCGTGGAAAGGTAAAAAGCAGCCTTCATTTGAGATTCTTCTCAAATTCCTTCTCTGTGAGAGAACATTTGCATTCTGTATTTCTCTCTGTGGAAGCAGCTATAGCTAATTTTCTCACAGCTGAATGCTTTTATTGCCTGCTTGAGTGCATTCCCAGGCAGTTCTTCCTGCTGAGTTGCTTCCATTAGATATTTTAAAGTGATCCTCCTCGCTGGAGGACAGTGCATTATGCTGTCCACGAGCTTAGTTTATTCACTTTTGAGGAGGAGGTTTTGGAGTCCTGTCCTTGATCCAGTAACGCAGACAATAGGAAATAATTTAAAAGGAGGTTAGAAGAAAGGTCAGATTCAGGACATACTCCATAGCTTGGTGGTTAGCAAATTTTCCCAAGAGAATGTCACAGAAGTCATGAGAAGATAATAAAAGGAACTCTAAAAATATGTCCTGTCTTGTATCTGCATTTACTGGAGAGAATCATAAATGCAACTGTTATACTTAGGCTGTAGTCTCCAATAGTAATAGTTGTTGTTAAAAGTGCTGTTAACCACTTGCTTGGACACTGGCTAATAGTTTCATGTTAATTGTTTTCTTCACAGACCTATGTAGCCAACATTCTTATTGCAGTGAATCCATACTTTGATATACCTAAGTTTTATTCTTCAGATACTATTAAAAAGTACCAGGGTAGATCGCTTGGAACATTGCCACCACATGTTTTTGCCATTGGTATGTATTGAACCTGTATTTGTCTTTTAAAAACAAACACTGAATATGTCACAGTTACTTATAAATTTCCACCTCTAACAGTAATTAATTTATTTTGATGTATTATAAAATAAACCCACTAATTGCAAGTCTTCTCATCTTCAATACGCAGTTTGAAGAACTTGGAAATAAGCAACCATGACAACCCTTTTATGATTATTCTGCACCTCCAGTGTTTCAAGTCTAAGCAGTTTAATTTCAACCATTTAGAAAAAAAAAGCTCTAAAAAAGAAATAAAGAAATTCAGATTTTGCAAGTGAAAAATGGTTTAATAATGATTGGCACTGTCTTTCAGTGTAGTGATTTTCTTTGCCTTTTATTATGTTGCCAGAGCACATACACTGTTTCTTTTTATATGTTTCTGTTACAGATGGAAAATACATTGAAATGTTATTTATGGGATAAATCCAATTTCAGCCACTTTTTGAAATAAAAAAAAATAATTGGAAACTGTAATTAAGATTTGACTTGTTAAAAGCCTTCTCATTGTTTTGCATTTTGTTTTGTAATCAAAAGTATAAATAGCTGGGAGTTTAGTACCTGTTGCATAGCAAGAAATTGATGTTTTTCCAAGTTTCATTGTCTCAGATGTTACTTGTTGCAAAGTACTGAAACTGAAAGTTTCCCTTTGAAAAACATACTAAAGCCACATTGGTTACTATTTTGTAAATACATTTAATTCAAGAGATGTAGTTATAGGTGGTTGGTTTGGTTTTGTTTTGTCCTGGATATAGTTGAGTAGGTCTTTGTTTTCAGGCCTTTGAGTTCTTACTTGTTGGGTTGGAAGATGAACAACTATACTATAAATTAAACAGAAACAGATTTTAATGAATTTTAATGCATTTAATTGTAAAGATTTACTTTTTATTCCTAAAAATGTTACATTTTGATTTTTGCATTGTAGCTCAACTTTACCCTTGCAATTCTGCTGAATATTAGTATGTGTCATGTTTAATGTATTCTTCTTTTTAAGCTGATAAAGCATTCCGTGACATGAAAGTGCTCAAGATGAGTCAGTCCATCATAGTCTCTGGAGAATCAGGAGCTGGCAAGACAGAAAACACTAAATTTGTTCTGAGGTTTGTGCATTTGGACCAAAGTTATTATGTGAATCTCTTGTGTTGATGCATTTGGTTGACATACAGAGCAAATGGTAATCAGTAGGTTTAAGACACAATTCAGTAAGATATGTATTAGCTTCCACATGCACTTTATTACAAGAAATTAATTGAATTAAACTTAAGTGCTGACATGATGATACGTGGAAATAGCTACATACTTACAGAAACCTTAACTCACTTGTAGTGACATCATGTAGTTATTATGGTTTATGATGCAGGCATTTTAGTATTGCACATCTGGTGTTGTGGTAGATAAAAAAACATAACTAGACATTTTAACTGTATCTTGCAAGACACTGTTGGTTTTGCCATAAATGTGCATTTCTCTGTTTTCCTGCCTTAGTTTTTTTTTTTAGTTTGCTTGTGTATCCAGGGTTTTTAACTGTAATATACTTCACCCTAGTTTACTGAATAAGACTGAACAATGGGATTTATTTATTTGTTAATGTTTATATATGAGCAATACTAAGTCAAGCATTTTAAACTCTATGGAAGCCATATTGCTGATGTATATCAGTCTTGCTTCCACTTACTGGCATTATACTTTAAGTGCTTTTATCCCTCTGGAACAGTGTAACTGGAGAGCTCCTTAAATACACCTATATCATAGGTGACTCAATTACGCAGGGAAGCACAGTGCGGGCAGTGTGAATACACTCCCTCACCCCACCTTGTCCTTGTTTCCTTCTATAAATCTTTAATGCCATTTTTCCTGACATCATGTATTTTCTAGTATTTATATAGAGTTATTATCTTCCACATCCTAGGAATTGTCCCAACTGTCTGTCTGCCTGTCATACTGCTCTTCTCTGCCCTTGTGCAGTCTTTCACAGATAGTTGTAAGAATTACTGCAGGGTGCTGGTAATGATTCTCACAGGGGACATCCCAACTTTGGTCCTGCTAAGAGTGAAAAAAAGTCTGGCACTGGGAGAATATTTCTTGAGGAATGCTCTTAAAGGAAGTTGTTCCTCTGCTTCTCAGCAAAGGAAGTTATGATCACACAACAAGCAACATTGCTGTTGCTTCTCCCCACCGCCCGCCCCCATAGAGTCCATGTACAAAACATAATTGAGTTTTAAGAGTTGGATGATTTTACCCTTGCATAATCAGAACATAAAATGTACTAATACAGCTCAGTTAGTGTTTCTAAAATTTTTTTGGAAGGCCCTATTTTCAGTATCTGTTTTTAGCTTGTCCCAGATATACCTGTGAATTTCTAGAAAGCGTGCCCTAAGCACAAGGAGAAAAAAAAAAAAAGGCTGGAGCTTTAGAGCAAATATGTTGTGAATTTATTTAAAATCATTTCTTCAGTTGCTAAATTGAATCTTGCCTTAATTATGCACCTGCAATTTCCTATCTTCACCATCTCCATGTGGGGTTTTTATTAACACTGATAATTATGAACACAGAAACTGTATTCATGGAAACAATCTTAAATTTGGGAAATAGACATGAAACCTTATGTGTTTACTAAGATTTATTAAGAAATACAGATAGTAGAGTAATAGTTTGATTATGTTTGTATAAAACTGTAATTTCCATATACATGTCTAAAAGAAATTTCTAACGGGTCTTGGAATATTGAAAAAAACCTGAAGTGTGCAAGAATATTTTTGTTTTACCAAAAAAGAAAAGTTAAACTGCATTTATTTTAAAATGTATAGGTATTTGGAACTTACTCAGTATGCTTTCCCTATAGTAAATGGTTAGTAAGTATGGTGCATAGCCATGCTTAACCCTGTTTAATTGAGGTAATCTGACATGAGATAAATGATACCAATTTTTTTTCTTACTTTACAGGTATTTAACAGAATCTTATGGTAGTGGCCAGGATATTGATGACAGAATTGTAGAAGGTATTGAAGTTTCTTTCATTTAACTCAAAGTTCCAACACTTATATTTTTTTCAGAAGTGTGAGTCAACAGCAACTGAATAAAAGCTAGGATATAAGTACTGTCAGACTTTCTAGGGCATAATTTATCGGTAGTTGACCTTCATCCTAGATTCTGAAAAAATATTTTTTTATTCGTGTTTCACTTTATTTTTGTTTACTGTAGTATCACACAGTCCTTGATCCAGAAAATGAGTGTGTGTTTGAATTGAACTTTACACATTATGTACCCAAGATTGGATTTTAAACTGCATATAATCTGCAAGGACAAAATTATGTTTTCATGACTATCTGTTATTACTAGGAAAGTGCAATTCCTCCTAATCACCATAAAGTTCTCAAAGTCAGATAAAACAGGGAAGTTCTTTTAAATTATAATTCAGGGTCATTTTTCTGTTACATCTTTTTTTGTCAGAAATCACATAATTCAGATTAGCTCTTTGATTGCATCTGTCTTTATAATCGACTTCCAAAACAGGTCAGAGGAGACTGTGTTGATCATTTAGATGAGCCTCTTTAATGTTGCATGCACTTCCTAATTGAACAAAAAATAAGTTTTTGAGAAAATACAAACATCTCTAAAACAAGCAACCAACCTAATATTGCCTCATATATCAGTTTTAGTCTTCTATAGCATATAATGAATTTATTTTGAAATTTCCTGACTCTTTTTCTTTAAAAATTTGTTCACCTTTTCTTTTGCTTTAAATTTTTCTGTTTTCTGTTGTTCAAGAGAAGTACTGCAGGCTTTAATCTCTTGTTGACATCGGTTTGCTTAAAGCAGTTCCTTAGTGAAATCCACTGTGTGCTAAAGGAACTCAGAAAGTGGTCAGGAGCTGGATAATGCCCGACGCAAATTAATTGGTACTTGTAGGTATTCCTCGAAGAGTTTGGGTTTTTTTAGTCTAAACCAGCATCTGATGCATGAATTCTGAAGTTTTTTGGGCACAAGTTTAACGACCATGCTTATTGCATATGTGTTAATAGAGAACATTTAACCTAGCTGAAAGACCCTTGCAATATGTTTTTCTTTAAAAGTTAATATTACATAAAATGCCTGAATAGTTATCAAAGATCTCTTAAGAAGTCAGATTTGTATTTTCATAAGCTTTAAGTTAAAAACAGAGAAAATCTAGCCAAAACAAAAATGTTAATTCTTATGTCCTACTAAATTATGCCATATCATCCATACTTTATCCAAGCATTGATGTTATTCCTTCATTCTTTAATTGTTGCAGGAGCAGATATGTAGGTGGTTGTCAGTGGAGTTTTAAATCTGAGTTCCTGCTTGCTTAGTTTCCAATGCATATTTTTAGCTAGAAGCCTTAAAATATCTTTTAGATATTTTTAATGGCTTATTGTTAGTGAGATTCAGTCAACTGTTTTTTTTTGATCTTCAAAGCTAGTAAAATGCAGTCTTTCAGAGGCCTTTGTTTCATAACTACTAAGCATTTTCAAACAGATTAAGTGGTGCATGATATTTGTGTTCATATATATATATATATGTGCGTTAGACTGCTTGCTGCCATTCTTTCTGTATGGGCTTTAACGTGCTTGAAATTAGCAGCCAGTAAAAAATATAAAATCACTCAATCACTTAACTGACCTAATTTGAAAGGGCAGTTTGAAGTAGTTTTTGAAATCAACACACTTGTCTAATTTTTTTTTTTAATTCCCTAATCAATCTAATACATTGCATGCATGACATTTAAGTGGCATTTTTGTCTGTGGGATAAGTGGGTAGTTTAGATTTTATGAATAATAACTAACTAGGAAGTGTCAAATTGTGTGTTGTCTCATATAGTTTATGTATTAGTTATTTACCGACTTGTATAGGACAGCATAGCGGAATAATTTTTGGCATTTGTCTCTGAATTTCTTATAGTATTGATTAAAATACTTTGCAGTGTTATGTGATATCTAAGGACCTAGTTTTATGTTCTACCACAATATATCTAGTACAATCTATAGAATTGATTATTCCTAATAAGTAATATTTTCCCTTTAATTTTCAAACCTTATTCCCCATAAGTTCACTGAATAATTGGTAAGTGTTTGTTCTCTCTTTCTTTTTGGTAGTTTATTCATCAGATTCTAACACTACGAAAATTAATTTTTTTAAACAGCAAATCCCCTATTAGAAGCCTTTGGAAATGCAAAGACTGTTCGCAACAACAACAGCAGTCGTTTTGGGAAATTTGTTGAAATCCACTTCAATGAAAAGGTACTGGGAGCTTGTTACAGAACAACCAGTGATTATTTTTTGTCATAAAAGGGAAACGCTAGACTGGCAGAAGGCTGAATAGACTTATTAATCTTGCAGCAAATAGCTACTGTCCTACTTTACAGATGTGATTTGTATTCTGTCACCTTGAAAGGAAAACCAGAGGCACACAGTACTGTGTCATTACTGGAAAGCAGTAGGAAAACTACTTCCACCCACGAAAGATTAAAAATTAGTCCCTTCATTGCAAAAAGGCATATACAAAGAATAACTCACATACATTCCTTTAGTACACAAATAAGTGTGAGTTGCATATTACATATAAAGTATTTTAGCTTTAAATGAATTGTTGATTTTTTTTTAATGTATTTTTATGAAATGTTAGGACCTCACATAGTAACATGTATGTGACAGAAGTCAAGGAATTGTTTTTTGACAGAAATACTGTGTAATTTAAGAAAAATTTTCTTTGTTTGGGTGTAGTTTTGTTTGGGTAGTGTATGTATTGCACAATTAAGGATGACTGTATGTCTGTCCAGTACGTCCAAGTTGAAGACTTTTATTGATGATCTCTGTAGAGATTCTGTACATGCCTCCTCCTCTTTCTGACTGAGGACAGAGGAACTGAAAGAATTTGTTCTTTTCCTGCAGAATTTAAGCTTATTATCTGGTCTTGAGCTTGCAGTCTTTTCCTAAGTTTTCATACTTGGTTTTGTAACTAAACTTCAGATCTTTGGCTAATAGTTTAGATAGTAAACTAAATTCCTTTCTAGGTAGAGGGACTTTATCTGTTGGTCCAGTTCATGT